TGACTTGAAACTCTGCGCACGCCTATGATAATAATGTTGCAGTATTATTTATTAAGTAATTTAGGATAAATTACATCGATTACACCTATAATTGAGATGTCTATGTCTTGCACACTTTTGTGCATTAATATAATTATAGTTCTCAAATTTTAGAAAATGTTTACAATCTTTATGGGCATCTACCAAAAATACTTATTTAGGTGAAAAGCATAAACACATACGATTTATTATTAGATAATACGATTATAACATACCATACTCTAGACTTCGGTTGTTGGATGATCTCCAGTAAGGACTTAAATAAAATATCAAAGTGACGATAAAAGTGACTACAATGGCGATTTTCTTCGATCTGTAATTAGGTAGGTATAATGCACAGTTGTTAATTTATTGATAGACACAAGTTAACTCAAATGAACTACTGCTTACATTTTAATTTTTTCTAAACTCCTCCTCAACCGGTACAGGAAATCTCTAGGACTCATGTTGTTGCAATGTGAATTGTGTGTTAAATAGCAACAACAACAATTAATCAGACTTACAGGTGCATTTAGATACAATATTACAGTTACATGCTCGAGTCACACGGCGTAGACAGAAAAAAAAATTACTGGCGCTTACACGCGTAAGTGCGTAACTAGATAACTATAATGCCAACTAATAACTATGGTTTCACATTGTTTTAAGTGTTTTTATTACCTAATTATTGATAGAAACATTTTGGGCGCCTACAAAATTTTACGAAATACAAATAATATTAATTTCAACTCGTGTACATAAATGTCCGGCGTCTAATGATACTGTTATCTCAACGAGTTACCGATAAGATAATARCTATTTCGTATCACTTATGAGTAGGAGCCGGAACTATGTTCTTTTAAAATAGCCAAAATATGATGCTAATATTCTCTAAAAAAGTTGAAAATATTCTTGCATTATTCTTTAAAAATCATAATAAAATATGCTTTTTTATAAATCTATTCTCTTGAAATAAAAATATTCATTTATATGCAAAATAAAACAAAACAACTGATATAAATAAGTATATTGTATATGATAAGAAATAATATGCAAACAATAAACAAAATAATACATATTAAAAAAAAAATTGATTAAATTATATTAATAACAATAAGGTATTTTTAATAACAAACATTTTTGCAAGGCTGGGCATAAACGAGTTAAAAAGTTAAAGTTAAGTTAAAAATTAATTTTACTTTAACCTTTTAACTTAGGTAACTAGTTACTTTTGGATTTTCATTAACTTAACTACCTATTACCTAACTTATTAAATTTCTGTTTTAATTAACGTGAAATTAACGAATTAATTTATAATTTTAAGAAATAAGTTAAGAGTTGATTCATTTTGTTTGTAATATTTTTACATTTCATTATTAGTCTATTTTGATTATGTTGTCATGTCAAAAAAAATATTTTTCATGAATTGTTTCAAGTTAAAAATGTTATATTTTTTGGATCATTCTGTATTCTAATTTCTAAAGTAACACCATATATATTGTTAATTTTACAATAAAAGGTTTTATCTTTTATGTCATTAAATTAATTATTATATCAATTTATTAATTTATTATTACTRCTTATTATATAGGTAACTATACTGTTCTTAAAAATACAATATACTATTCGGAAATACTGTATAAAGTATAAACACTAATCTGTAATTTAGTTTTGGTTTGGAAAAAAATTAAGTACTCTAGTTTTGTATAAAAAAAAATTGGTATTAACTTGTAACTTAACTCAGTTAATCTATAATTAAATTAACTTTTAACTTTTTGTTATTGGTGCATATTAACTTAAATTAACYGAGTTAAAAAAAATCATTAACTTGCCCAGCCTTGCATTTTTGAAAACAGTCAACAACTTTATTTTGCTCCATGTGTTCTGGTGTCATATTTGTACGACGGTATGTTAATAATAATATGTTTTTATACGTGCTAAAAATGAACGTTCGACGTCAACTGAATTCACCGAAAAATTAATCGATATACTCTCAAATAKTCTTTTGTCTTGAAATGCTCTCAAATATGCTAAAAAAACTTTTGCCGTTAATTAACCGGTTTTATGATTTGTAAAGATTTCGAACTCCCGCCTGACTGCATARCCTCATAAAAAAAATATGCAAAAGAATATAATTCCTGTCCCTACTTATGAGTTATGAGGTCTGTTTGTTGTATGGTTGCACAACGAACGACTGGGAGCGTGCAGATTAGAGTATGTATAGGAAAATATGGCATTCATATTTTCATATTTTTTTTTTCTCTCAAGATAACTCCCGTATATTCGCGATTCGCGACTACTCACTTCCTCCATATTCCTGAGTAACAAATAAATAAAATTTAATGCRATCTATGAATAACTTTCCTGTAATTTGAAAAAAATTATYAATTATACAGTATACTGTTATAACTACCATCACATGCAATAAAGTAAAATATACTAAGTAATAAGTATTATTATATTATTATTATTTAATATTTTGTTGAATGTCCATAAAGTTACATTTGTGTTATAAGTAAATTATTCAATAAGAATATTATAATATAATCTACTTATGTATAATTAAAACAAATATTTACAATTTAATTAATATGCGTTACCTATACATAATATTTAGCTTCAAAAATAAATAAATAATTATGAAATTATAGAACAGATACACTTTACTGTCTTTACCACAGTACCACACCGTCCACACCCTTCACGAATATATATATATAAAAAAATTTTTTAAGAAATGTTTTTCGGCGTTGATTTTGAAACATTTTATTTTTTTGCTGAACCATAACCATTTACGACAAAAGATCTTCAAAAACTTTTGGCCCTAGCCCTAAGATTTCCAAAAAGAAAAATTAGATCACTAGACTGAGGCACTCGCTTATTGCTACGCTACGCAAACCAAAAATATCCTTTGGTTTGTTATGAAAAACGTTAAATATTACTTATTGATTACTATTCAGATCTTTTACAATATATTATGGTGAGTTTTA